TTTTTTGAGACAGGGTCTCACTAGGTAGTTCAGACTGCTCTGGAACTCACTGTGTAGCCCAGGCTGGTCTCGAACTCACAGGGATCCTCCTGCCTCGCCTCCCGAGTGCTGGGATTGCAGATGTGCGCTACCACGCCCAGCCCATGATCTATCTTTTATTTTGCTTTTTATTTATACTTTGGGTTTCTCATGTAAGAAAAACCATGCGATATTTAAACTTATGTGTCTGATTTATTTCACTTAACATTGGGGTGTCAAGGGGCACCCATTTACCTACAAATGCCTCAAGTTTATCTTTATAGGAGAGTAGTACTCCATTGTATATAAACAGTACATTTTCTTTATCCAGTCACCCGTGGATGGGCATCTGGGCTGTTTCCAAGATTTAGCTATTATGAATTGTGCTGCTATAAACCTGGGTGTGTGCGAGGATCACTGTAATATGATTTGAACTCTTTTTCAGAAGATACCTAGAAAAGGAATAGCTGGATCAAACGGGATTTCTAATTCCAGTGTTTCCAGGAATTTCCATAGTGATCTCCATAGTGATTTGCATTAGTTTACATTTCCACCAGCAACATGGAGGGGCTCCTCCCCGGCCCCCAGCCTTGTTGGCATTGGTTCCTGCTGTATCTGTTTTCTTTCTTTCTTTTTTGGTGCCTGGGATCGAACTCGGGCCCTTGTACTTGCCAGGCAGGCGGTGGAACCACTGAGCTAAGTCCCCGGCCCCTTGATTTCTCCATGATAGCCATTCTCCCTGGAATAAGATGGTACCTTGGCCTTTTCATTTCCATTTCTCGAGGACTGGTGATGCGGAACCCTTTCTCATGTATTTCTTGGCCACCTGTACTTCTTCTGAGAAGCACCTGTTCGTTCCACTTGCCCATTTTTTGCTCGGGTCTTTTATTTGAATGCTACCCTCTCCTCCTCACCCCATACTCATTTCCCTCGATTCTCTTTCCCCACAGACCTCACAGACGTGATATTTTGTGGGCCTCTCACAATATGTGGTGGTAGAAATCCCACCCCTTGGGCTGGCTTTTAGTAAACTGACAATGTGCTGGGTGTGGTGGTGGTGGTGATGTGCGTCTGTAACCTGAGGCAGGAGGATTGCAAGTTTGAGTCCCGCTTGGGCCACTTAGGTCAGTGGTAGAGAATGCCCCTGAGTTTGACCCCTAGCATCAGATGAGTACATAGAGCAAAGAGTATGCTTTGTGGCAAGAAATATATAATGGGAGTTTTTTTAGTGGGGTCCCGGGGATGAAATGCAGCCCTTTTGAGCGCTAGGCAAACGCTCTACCTTCGATTTCCATCCCATCCCCAGTCCCAGTGTCCTCATTTTTAAAGAAGAGTCACCGTACAATAATACTGAGACATAGCTTTAATACTGTGAGCTGTATCTACAGCTACCTATCTGCAAGGAAGCATCCAACTGCCCATGATGGTTACACAGAGGAGACAGTGGGTTCCTTGGCCTTATAGGCGAACATGCCCATGTCCTGCTGCATGCATGCAAATTAAGACTACTCAGCAACTGGAACCCTCTTCCAGTGCTGGTAGAAATATAAAACGGCACACTACAAGCACTTTGCAAAGTGTTTGGTAATTTCTTCTAAAAGTGAATCATGCAAACTAGGTATGGTGACACACATTTGTAATCCCAGCTGCTGGGGAGGCCGAGGCAGGAGGATTATGTGTTGGAGCCCAGCCTGGGCACTCCCCCCCCCCGCCATATAGATATTAATCATGTGACTCTTAAGTGTTTGCTCAAGAAAAATGAAGGCTTTTTTCCAGGCTGGGAATGGTGGTACATGCCTGAATGTCTGAACTCCCAGCTACTTAGGAGGCTGAAGCAGGAGGATCCCTAGTTCCAAGCCAGCCTGGGTAATTCAGTAGGATCCTGTTGCAAAGTAAAATAAAAAGGGCTGGGAATGTAGTGCTCAGTGCTCCCTGGACACAAACTTGTGCACCAATGTTTCTGTGTAGCTTCATCCGTAACAACCCCAAAGTAGAGACGACCTAAAACATCACCCCGTGGTGGTGGTGGGGGTCATGCGGCAGTATGTTTGCGGCATGGAGCACTATTCTGCTACAAAAAGGAGCAAGCCAGGGACACGGATGAATCTGAAAACATGGTGTGTGCCAGTGAAAGAAACCAGACTCAGGAGAGCACATAGCGGCCATATGATTCCAATTACGTGACAAGCAAAACTCATTTACGGTGACAGACGTCAGAGGGGTAGCTGCCCGTGGGGGCAGGGCCGGCTGCGAGGGGGCCAGAGGGAGCTTTCTGGGGGTGACACGGACATAGTCTAGATCGTGATTGGAGGGGCTACGCTTGGGGTAGACATTTGTCAAAATTCATCGAGTCCTACCCTATGCATTTCTCTGTAAGCAAATTGTAAGTAAATTTTACCTTCATGATAATGGCAACCGCCCCCCACCCCCCATCCTCAGAGGAAACTCTGACCTGTGACGGACCTGACTCTCACAGGTGATTTTCATTTTCTTCCCTCTGTTCCTCTGGGTTTTCCAAGGATTCCGCAATGCACACACATTCCTACAGGAAAGGTTTCAAAAGTCACGCGCGCCGTACATTCGTGGGAAAAAAACATGCACCTCTGTTGTGCATTTTTCAAATTTGTTTGGCCTTTGAGGGGGGGTGGTTGCCTTGTTTCTTTAAAAGAAAGGAAAGGAAGAGAGAGGGCAGGGCCGAAAAGGAGTGGATCCTCCCGGTGCTTTCAGAAGGCTCAGAAGGCCGCCCGCTCCGGGAAGTCTTCCTCCATTTCGCCCTCCCACCTGCGCCTCCCGGAGGGCCCGGCCCTGCGCCCGGCTTCAGCCGCCTGCTCTGCTCCCTGCGCCGC